TTCCGAGAAAATGAGAAAGTAATAATTATTCCATAGTTCATTTTGTGGCTGTGTTACTTATTATTTTCCTTCAGGATATGTTTGTTTTTAATAGATAGTCATTTTTCCCCTTCTTCTATGTGTACACTTTAGATTATAATTTTTCTTTCTGATTTGGTTTGTACTGTTGAGAAATATGCTAGTTGTCTCTTCAGCAGAGGGCACGTAGGATTAGTTTTGATTAGTCTCGTAGAAGCTTAATCCTCAACAGCTTATCATTTAAAATCCATCCATATTGGATGTTACGTCTTTAAAGAAATTGAACCTTGTCGCTTGTGTATCTCTTTTATCTGTAACATGACATGGTCAAAATAATTTGATCTATTTTTTTATGAGTGCAAGACAATATTTAGCAACTTTGATCAGTTATAGTGGTATTTGATGCTTATTTATAGCTTGTGCTAATTTGTGCAGGTTCCAAGATGAGGTTATAAGTTTGCCTCTGGCTGGAATTGAGGCAATCTTGTCGAGCGATGATCTCCAAGTGGCATCAGAGGATGCAGTATATGACTTTGCCTTGAAGTGGACCCGGGCTCATTATCAAAAGCCGGAGGAACGGCGGGAAATTCTTGCTACACGTCTGGGCCGCCATATTCGCTTCCCTTACATGGCTTGCCGGAAGCTAAAGAAGGTTCTGGTTTGCAGTGACTTCGATCATGATTTTGCATCTAAAATTGTGCTCGAGGCCCTATTTTTCAAGGCTGAGGCCCCACATCGTCAGCGAATGATGGCCATAGAGGAGACGACCACTACAAGCCGCCGCTTTGTCGAGAGGACATACAAATATCGACCCGTTAAGGTAATCGAGTTTGAACTCCCGCGTCAACAGTGTGTAGTCTACCTGGATCTTAAGCGGGAAGAGTGTGTAAATTTGTTTCCATCCGGGCGAGTTTATTCTCAGGCTTTCCACTTGGGCGGACAAGGGTTTTTCTTGTCTGCACATTGCAATATGGATCAACAGAGCTCTTTCCATTGTTTTGGTCTATTTCTTGGAATGCAAGAAAAGGGTTCGGTAACATTTGCCGTTGACTACGAATTTGCAGCCAGATCGAAACCCACAGAGGAATATATTAGCAAATATAAAGGCAATTACACTTTTACCGGAGGAAAGGCAGTCGGCTATCGCAACTTATTTAGCATACCGTGGACTTCTTTCCTGGCCGACGACAGCCTCTATTTCATTAATGGCATACTGCATCTCAGGGCCGAGCTTACCATCAAGCGCTGAAATTTCGGATTGAGAATTCCTAAAATACTTACTATTTCCTTTAAGCTTGCTCCAGACAATGTATTACTTTCGCTCACAAGAGCAAAAAGGTAACGTTGCCGTGCCCGGCCCAACCTCCATTCGGATCAGAGTCGAAAAACTGTTTTATTCCAATGATATGCTGTAGACAAATGCGACTCAGTACGCAAAGTCACAAGAAATGTTGTAAATATGTTGTTACAAAAAGTCTTTTTCTTTTTATTTATGCTTCTACTCCTCGAGAGAAGTTGCAAAATCGCCATTTTTTTTCCGGCTATTGATTCTCATTTAGGGTTCGTTTGATTGCAATGGTGAGAAATTGGTGGAAAGAAAATGAATTCTAGGGAAAATTATTTTGCAGGAAATTGTTAATTAAGTGTGTTTCATTGGTATAATTTTCCACCTGGAAAATGTTGAAAGTTTGGTATCCATTTGACTTTATTTTTCATAAAAATTGTCAATTAAAGTGATAATTTTTTTTACCATTGGATTTAGAATTTGTTTCAATTATCAAAAAAATTAGATATTTTTTTAAATTATCATATCGAATATCATTCGTTTGACTTTGTTTTACAGGAAAATTATTAATAAAAATGATAAATTTTTTTATCATTGTATCTAAAATCTTTTGCAATTGCAAAAAAATAATAATAATAAATAAATAAAAACACGTGAGAATAAAACCAAGAAAAATAATTTCAAGGAAAAGATAGTGCATCAAACATGACATAATGTGGAAAATGAAAACATTTTCCCACTTTCAAGGAAAATAAGGCCCATCAAGCAGGGCCTTGGTTCTATGTGATGATTTATCCTGGTTTAGTCGGGTTCTTCCCGTATTTTTTTTTTTTGTATTGCTTCTGTTAGATGTGCTTGTAAAAAGGGTAATGAGGACTGTTCAGAGAAGCGCGAAAAGCTAGACAATAGAAAGGCATGCATTCTTTAGGGAAAATTGTAGTGGAGGTTTCAAACCTTTCTATTTATTGTAGATTATATCCTCACTTTTTATTTTTGCGACTGCAATTCCAAACCTTTCACTTTAACTGCAGCTAAAGTCCATATAACAAATTAGTCCAAATTTTCATTAATCAATATTGAAATTAAAATTTTAACTTAAATTGACAAATTCAATGAGGGGGTATATTTATAATTTCTATAATAAAACAATTAAATAAAAGACCAAAAGGGAGAGAGAGAGAGAGAGAGAGAGAGAGAGAGAGAGAGAGAGAGAGAGAGAGAG